AAAAAAACTCCTGAAAATCTACTACTAGGGCTCAAAATGGAAGAAGTAAATGTTACAAAAAAGACTCTGCTTTGGTACCTAATAACAACAGCAAGAATGGTCTATGCTCAGTGTTGGAAACAGGAGAGAATACCAAGAATAGAAGAGTGGATAAGTAAAGTTCTGTTCATGGCAGAAATGGACAAAATTACAAAAAACTGAACAACAAAGAAGACCAAGTATTTTTTGAAAAGTGGAAAGATTTTAAAATTTATTTAGAGAAAAAATGGTATGTAAAGCAAAATTTATTATGTTTAGAACAATACTGAGCTAACTGTGTTATCTTGAGTTATATCAATATTAAAAGGGGTAACGCATTGCGGGAAGCCACGGGAAGGGAGGGAGGAATAAGGATCTTTTTTGGTTAAATGAAAAGCATGTTGAATATGATGTTATCTTCGAGAAAAATAAAAGTGTTTGACCCAAAAAAAAAAGAGAGAAGCAAAGCCGCAAAAACATTTTTCTTCAATTGTGCAAGCAGCTTCATACCATGACAGATTACTGAGAATAAGGAACACACGGCATTGCTGTGGATGAGAACTCTTCTAGGCTCTGCTGGAATAATACATGCAGCCCATGCCCAGCTAAAACATGAAATAAACCCTGCTTCCCAGGTCAGAACCTCCATCCTGTGACTTTACATCAGACCGCCTCTCTCCCTGTGCTCCGCCATGACAGCTTCGCTCACTGGAGCACAGCCAATTGGCTAATGGGCAAAATCAACAACTGTCCATACGTGTGTCCTCTCCACTGTGGCCCCCACCTTCTGAGAAGGTCAGGAAGGTTCCCCACTCTCCTGGCTTCCCACAAACTAGGTACAACCAGTGTTCCCTCTAAGCTGAGTTAGTGTGAGCTTGCTCTCAGTTTTTTAGCCTCCAGCTCACATGTTTTTGTCTCCGCTCAGGAAGGATGGCTCCACAGCAAACTAATGTATGCAGTAGCCAAATCGTTCATTCACAACTCTAATGCCAGTAGCTCACAAAGTAGAATTTTTGTTCACAAGACTCCACAGCTTAGAGGGAGTATTGGGTACCACTGAATTTTTCAAGAGGGCTTTTCTGCGCAGGTAACAGAGTCGCACGGTGGTAAATATTTTACGAAGTTACCTAGATAAATTATATGGGACTGTGGTCAACACTACTGTGTATAGCTTGCGAAAACTAGGATTCTGCTATGGAATTTCTGCATCATTTAATGTATCATGTTAATACTTATTTTTTTCTTCAGTTGTTTTCTTTAGATTTCCGGTTGGTTCTACCACCCTAACTCCTATTGCATTGATTGCTGAAATGTCCCATTCTGTTGCCTGTATTGACTCACTGTCGAATCTAACTTGAATCCAAGTGAGAAAGGCAGACAATAAATAGCGTAAATAAAATTTAAAAAATGGATAAAGTAACATTTTAAACCAGACTTAAGAAACTTCTCTTACTCCCCACCAACAGATTCCCAGAGCTGCTTACAAGTTTAAAGCAAAGAATAAAGATTTTTAAAAACTGTACTATAGTGCAGTAAGAGTGTAAGCCAGCAGTATTATAACTCCAGTGATAAAGGGGGTCGTGACTGACCTCGGAGGAGCTTCTGCTCTATGTGCAGGGGGTTTCCAAAGCGGAAGTTCTCTCCACTAAACAGAGACAGGATCAAGTTATTCTGGTGCTCAGCGTTGTTCTCCGGCAACTGGGGCAGAAATTTTTTTAAGTGTTCTCGTTGTGAATCCACCAGCACTTCCTGCCATGTTGAAAAACTGATGACTTCAAAAAAGATCTCGGGCTACAAGAGAAAAACAAACGAAATAATAAAGTGAGATCCCTGAAAACGTGATGAATATATTCTACTGGTGACGTCGAGATGAGCAGAAACGCAGATTACGAACTTCTCGAGTTCTAGCGTTCGTTTCGATACAGTTCTTTATCAAACAAATCTCAGAATCTCCTATCAAAATAACAATAATAATTACAACTTATGATAGGGGACTATAGTACTGGTTCAAGCAATTTAGTGATGAAAATTCATACATACAGTTCTTTAATGTTCTTCATACAAATACTTCACAAGAGGGAATTCCTAAATCCTGTAAATAAAACAATTCTTTGAACTCTTCGTCACATGGATCAAAACTTTACAACTTTTTAATAATTAACCACCTGAGACGAAGAGTTCAAAGAATTGTTTTATTTACAGGATTTAGGAATTCCCTCTTGTGAAGTATTTGAGTCTCGAGAAGTTCGTAATCTGCATTTCTGCTCATCTCGACGTCATGTCGATGGCGCTCTTTGCTGAAAACAAGAATTAAACCTCTTAGAATTCTATTGTTGTTCTATATTATTGCCAACTATTTTCTAATTGTATGCACATCTGCAGCAATTTTGTTTGTCTTCGTGATTATCCATTGCTGTACCCCTTGTGTTACTTTACCTCTGTATATTCTACTGGTGACAGATGCACCCATGGGATAGCATATGAAAAGCCCCAGTATAGGGAGAAAACAGTAGCTTTGAAAAATTTTACACACTGGAGGCAGACAAATGGAGTTGAATCTTTGCTTAGTGTTGGTTCGGGCATATTAGCAGATCCCAAATGTGCTAACTGGTTGCGACAGCTGCTTAAATTACACTGTGTTTAGTTAACTACCACTGCAATTCTTTGAGAAGCTTCCAAACAGGCTTTAGAAAAAAAATACTGTTTTATTACGGACAATAAAGCACAGTCCATTATACTTCATTCTCTTTGATTATGAACTCTGATCCTTTGAAAAAAAGGAATTCACACTAACCAGCATGTTCAGAGGCAGCATAACTGTGTACCAAATGTTGTGCACAAGTAACAAAGGAGGGTTATCTCCATTCAGTTTTGCCTAGTCCAAATGAGTTTCTCCAGAGATGACCAGGTGGCCATTGTTTGACAACAGAGCGTTAGACTGTAGGGGCACCTGGTCTGAGCCAACATTAGCCATTCTTGTTATAACAATCACTTCACAGAACTAGAAGAGGATCTGATTACATTTTGGAACAATGTGCATTGAGTATAGGTGGGGAAGATGCTCCCAAGTCAACCGCTGAAGCACATCATCACTTGCAGAAGTATTCTGTTTCTACTCACATCTTCTACGGTTTCTGTTCTATTCACTTTTTTCCTACTCACATCTTCCAGGAGGTCTTCTGGCAGGCTGATTCTTATGGATCCCAGCATACAATCCTCCATGATTTGGCTGCCATTGCCTTCTCCAGATGGCCCCAATTCTAATGGGTCAGTGAGCATGTGATCCAGAGAATCCATTTTTCACAGAGTTATGAAACCCCTGAACAAACAAAAATTCATGGTAACAAACAAGGCAGTTTCACAATTCCATATGATGACGCAGATTCATTATTTGCAAAGACATACCTATCAGTGTTTATTTACAGTCTCATCTTATTTGAAGGGTCCTTGGGTTTCAGGGCTGACATAGTCTTTATGGGAGGGAGTTACCATTTTAGGGAAACATAAGCTGCTTAACATTTCACATTTTAAAATATTCTCTCACACCCCCCCCCCACTCCCCAGTGGATTAGAAAGAGAAAAGACACAAAATATAATCTGGAACTGCTTAGTTAACAGGAGGCAATGCTTAACCATCACAGCTAAGCAGACAAATAGCTTTTTTGCACACCTGTTTTAGAACTGCATAAGTACAAGGCAGAATGGTTTAAGGACAGGGTCTGCTAAGCCAAATGGATAAGTTCATATAAAACTGCAGTATTTAAGTGAAATGACACTATATTAAACTCTGAAGACAGCCTTTCCTATTAATAAAATAATATTGTATTAATATTTTACTGAAAACTAGCTCTAAATACTTGCAACTAATATTTACCTTCGATTTGACGAAAGCAGAGTTTATCCACCTAGGGCTTGAACATCGGTTAAAAAGGGTGGAAGCATGCATGGAGCCGCCATCTGGAATTGGTTTTTCTGAGGAAGGGTTTAAAATTCGTTCATTACAAGCAATGTTCCCTCTAAGCTGTCGAGTCTTGGGAGCAAAAATCCTACTTTGTGAGCTACTGGCATTAAAGTTGTGAGCGAGCAATTTGGTTACTGCATAGATTAGTCTGCTCTGGAGCCATCCTTCCTGAGCTAAGACAAAAATGTGTGAGCAGGAGGCTAAAGAACTGTGAGCTAGCTCACACTAACTCAGTTTAGAGGGAACAAGTAACCTTTAAAGCACTAGATAGCATATTATTGTTGGATTCTGAAAAAAACTAACACGTATCATTTCTCCAAACAAGTACAATTATCCTCAGATAAATCTTCACCAAAAAATTATCTTTCTGTCTTTATATACTGAAAAAAAAGATGAAAATAGAAACTTATTTGACCCGCTAGCTGGATAAAATAACTGCAACACACCAGACTCCACTGAAAATCCCTATAGCAGAGCTTCAGAGGGGAATTTTGATTGCACTCAAAGCATATTGTTGAGGTGCACTCAAAGCATATTGTTGTGATTTCTGTGTTGTTGTTTTTAACCTAGTACTAGGTTGGTTTTTGCAGGCCAAGCTGAAATACCACGAAAATATTTAATTCTGTGCTGCAGTTTATGTGGATGTGTTCCTTTCTATTTTCATTATGTTGGTTTATTTAATGTTATGGATTAACATATGGAGAATCAACACGGACTGCTAAAAGTAAAAGAAGCAGGCTTGTTTGAGGTATGCAGCAATTTAGCTGAAATGGTCTAAACTGGATTAATACAACAGTAAATATACATGATCATGATTTACCCTGGACACCAAAAGAACTCCCAATGCCTAAAGGGGGCTGGATCCAGATTACATTTTCCACGAATGGAAAAGATTGGCTAATTCCCACCAGTTCCCTCTTCCTGTTGCAGACCCCCCCCCAATTGTCTCTCATACTGCTCCCAAGGTCCCATTTCCTCTAGGTGCAGCATTTCCAGAGACCACTGGGCTGGGGGTGCAAGGAGGAAACATTCTGCTCCACTGACAAAGTATCTGTCGTGAGCAGAAAACTACGTTTGGATCCAACCCATTGTTTAGACTGAGAGTTCCAAACGGTTAGCTGTGCTGCAACAAAATAAAACACAAATTCAATTGCACTTTAGAGACTAACAAAATTTGTTTCAGCACAAGCTTTCGTGAGTTAGAGCTTATTTAATTAGATGTATGGAGCGTTCATCCTTAGCAGTTATTTATACTTAGACTGAGTCTCGCCATCTGTACACCAATTTGGAAAAGCACGGAAGAGCACTATCCTTTCATCACTTTCAAATACTCTGACGGCAAAGTAAAAAAATGGATAACTGATCTCCAGGAAGTGTCTCTCCACTGCATGCCGCTAAGGATTCCATTCATTATCACCTTTGGAGAAGATAACACCTACAACACTTAGTTTTTTTTAAAAAAACTGTGAACCATCACACACAGTCATTTCAACTACAACGTTAATCTGTCTATAACCAAAAATGCTAAAAATATGTGGATATTTAAATGGCCTCTGCAATATTTACTACCCCACTCAAACTCTTAATGTAGAGGGAGATGGCTATATATTCTACTACCTATTGTCAAGAAAACAGCATCTTCCAGATTAGAAGCAGTTGGGCCAAGTTTCAAGTTACCAAGCAGTTACCAAGTTTCAAGTTACCAAGAATCTACAGGAGCATCCATACACATCATTTTCCACTTTCAGAAGCTCACTCTGGTACTACATGAGCTTGTTCATATTGTTAAATAAAGCAAACCATCCTCACAAGGACCAAACAGAATCCACAGGTAGCATCATCAGGTCCAGACGACTGAAGAGGCAGCATAGTGCACTCAGAGCAAACTTAGGCTAGGAAGACCTAAGTTCAAATCCACTAGCCTCATTCAGCAACTCTGGGTGAGTCACTCCTACCTTGCAGGACTGTTGTGAGCTAAACTCAGTTCATCTGCTACAACCCAAGCCACCATTGTCACAGCACTGTTAAGACTAACGAGTTATGACACCCTCTTTAAGGGGCCACGAGGTTCTTGTTCTGCATCTACAGACATCTGGTAAATGTACACTGCGCTCTTATGTAGAGTTCCCTCAGCCTAAACCCATCGAAATCCATAGGCTCAGAATGGAGAAACCCTGCATGAGACTGCACTGCCTGGACCCTGAGTTCTCTGTGGTCCTGGCAACGCTATCAACAAAAGATGGTGTGCGTGGAAATGTGTGACAAGAGGCAGAAAAGTTGCACAAGGATATCTTTAGTCAAGACCCGCGAAGTGGTTTTAAGCTTAATGAAGTGTTCTCCCCTTCCAGCTATTATTTCGTTTTTCAGTCTCACCCTTCTTCCAAGGAACTCAGGCGGTGCGCTTAGTCCTCCCCTCTTCCACTAACCTCACAACGATCCTGCAAGGTACTTTAGGCATTGAGACACTCGACTATGAACACACACAGAGCTTCGTGGGCAGAAGGAGGGGGGGTGGTGGAATCTGAACTCAGGACTCCTGAACACCACATCAGTGCAATGTAAGGAACCCCTCACGATCTTCTCCTCGCGCCCCCCCCCTCCTCCAGATCTGTTTTCCTTTCACAGACACCCCCATTACCGTGACACCCCCCCCTCCCACGGCCACAGTTGCCCCTCCCCCATTACCTCCGAGGGCACACAGGTGACCGGTCCGCTCACTTTAAGGGCCACCCCTTCCCCCTCACCTTCGCACGACTAGACATTCCGCTTCCAGGTCGAGGGAAGCGCGGACGAAGAGCGCGTGCGCACAAGCAAGTCTCCCTCTCCGGCGCGGCCACGCTGTACTCAACGAGGGGACTGGAAGCAAGTCTCGCGCATGCGTGGATGTCAGGAGCTGCGCGTGCGCATCGGCGGCCGCTCGTTCGCCTCCCTTCGCCGCCTATTTTCCGGCTTGCTTCCAGTGCCGGGCGGGTCTTTCTCTATTGACGTCACTGTCAGGAGCGTGGCTCGCTTGGGCTCGTGCAGTCCGGTGCTTCTCGCATAGGGAAGCGAGCCCAGGAAGGCAGCTTACAGAACCAATCCTTTTTAATAAGCAAACAGGAGGGCTCCTTAAAAGACGAACAACGGTTATTCTTAGAATGAGTTGCCGCCTTGAAGGTGTCACTGGACTTTGCCTCCCTGAGCCCCCGGGGTGGTGGCCTTGGACTCCTAGGGGCAAATTCCACCTCTGGCTGGAGAAGTCATTCTGGCTCCCCCAGCTGTCCTTAGGGGCTCTTTAAAAAGTTATGGCCGCCATCGCTGTTCTCAGCGGCAGCTGCGACGCAGGGGCGGGCGAACGTTCTCCTGCCTCCCTGAGCGGTGGCCTTGGACTTGTAGGGGCAAATTCCACCTTGGACTTGTAGGGGCAAATTCCACCTCTCGCGTGTGATGGCGTTGCCTCCCTGAGCCCCTCGGACATTACACACGAGAGGTCATTCTGGCTCCCCCAGCTCTCAAGAGGGGCTCTTTAAAAAGTTATGGTCACCACTGCTGTTCTC